TAAAAATTAAAAATGTGGAAAGAGTTCTCTAAAAATGACAGGAGGCTCTACACCTTGGAGAATTGGATGTTCCCTGGCTTCTCTGTTGGAAGCTGTTGGTTTGTATACCTTATTGTGAAAGCGTGTTCTACAGTATTTCAGCTAAAGGTATTCATGGCATAAATGTTGACATATTTACACACTTAGATAGAAATGTGATGATAGATACCATGGAGTTGATAAAGGGACGCATGATAGCATCATTGGTAATATTGGGCATATGAGATAGAGCCCCAGAAGGAAACAAACAGCTTGAATAGTTTAATGATGGAGCTATTTACCATGGTGTCTTAATTTGCTAGGCCTTCCATAACAAAATACCACTATCTTAGTCTATTTGGGCTGCTATAACAAAAATACTCTAGGGATTAATATTTCAATGTATGCGTTTGGGGGGATATAAGTATTCAGTTCATAACATCCCCCACAGTGATATGAATTAGATGACAATTGATAAAGATAATTTATATTGACATTCATTAATTCAAGAAAACTTTACTGAATATCTACTGTGTGCCAGACTCAGCTAGGCTCTGGGAGTATAGATGGTGGGGGGGGGGACTGTTCCAGCCTTTAATGAATTTATAAGTGCAAGGGTGACAGATCAGCCATTGCAATACAAGGATAGCAGCAAGGAAAGTGTGCTGGTGCAGCTCCTAGAAGGGAAAAAATAAACCACTCCGTGGGAATCCGCAAAAATGACCTTCAAGCAGAAACCAAAGATGAGTAGATTGAGTAGTAAATAGGAAGTGGAACAGACAAGAGGAAACATTCTGGAGGAAGAAATAAGATATGCAGAGACCCAAGACAAAAACTAGGGTGACCACCATCCTGGTTTGCCCAGGGCTGTCCTGGTTTTAGCACTAAAAGTCTCACATTCAAGAAATGCGCCAGTCACCGTGGAACTGTAAATATCCTAGTGTAGCTGGTACATAGAGGAATTTGGGGTTGGGGCAGTATTGGTGAGAGAGAAAGCTGGAAAAGGAGGCAGGAGCCCCAACAGGAACTAAGTCATATGAAGGAGTTCAGACTTTTATCTTGAAGGCAGTCCAGCAGTCAATAAGTGATCTTACATGGGGGAGTGACTTGCTAAGACTTGCATTTAGAAATATCTCTTTCTGCTGTATAATTAAGAAGAGGGACACTACTAAAAGCCAGTTAGTGGTTTTCCAAGGAAGAGATGATGGTGACTTAAAGTAAAATAATAGAGGGGGATGGAGAAAGCCAGAGGGTTTAAAATATCTTGAGAAGGAGTAACAGAACTTAGAAAGATAGATGTGGGAGGTGAGCAACAAAGAAAATCAAGGATGACTTCCAGATTTCTGGCTTGGACAACTGGAAAAAGTCTTGGGAAGTAATTAGGATGGTTTGGAAAACCCTTCCCCACACCACCCGACATGAGAATACAAACAAAGCAGCTATTCTTTGCTCCCCATACAGCTCTTGTTGACCTGAAAATCTGCTTTATTGTGCAACTGACCCAGAGGTCTTCAGGCATAGCCATGAGACCTACAGGAACTTCAGGATAAGAAGGAGGTTGGGGCAAGAGGGGGAAGAAAGTGGGCATTCGTTACACTAGATATTTCGTAAATGATTTATGTGCTCTGTCTTATTTAATCTTGATGAGAATCTTATGAGGTGGGTGGGTGGATATTGTGATCCCCGTGTCATAGCTGCAAAATGGGGAATCAAGTATTGTGCCACAGGCGGGTGTGTGTGTGTGAGTGAGCGGGGAAGGGGAGAGCCCTTGGGACCTGCCACAGTGAAAAAGTCGAGCTTCAGAGGAGCCTGCCCGGGCCTGTGAACTCCCTCAGGGGACTTAAGAGAAAGGGGTTCCTCAAATACAGTGATAAATAAGCTTTGCACAGTAATAGGATTACATTTAAAACTGTTACAAGAGAGGTGTGACTAGCCCATTCTTGTATCACCAAGAGCTAGGCATTTTCTTCATTCAACAGGTATTATTTTATGTTCATTGTTTCTACAATAGCACAAAGGAACCCTTCTATTTGTTGTCTTACCTTATGCTGAACTTAGAACAACGCTGAAAACCAGGGAGCATTATTTACTCCCTTTTCGTCTCCCTTTCTTCTTCGATTCTGACAGCTTGCTATGTTTAACCCCAGTTTGCCTACCCTTTCCCAGAAAAATCAGCGAACATGCATGGATGCATTATAGGCAGGCAGCGTAGATTCCGTGAGGAAGAAGGAACCCAGCTTTGCTCTCAGGGGGCTTACAGTCTCATCGGGAGACAGATAATTACCTTCAGAAACAAATACGGATGCCCAAGAACATACGTATGTTCAGTGCTAGGTCAGCGGCCTCCATAATGATTGGCTTCAGGAATCCAGCCGAGGCAGACACCCCGGGGGTCCAGGCAAGCTTCTTGGAGAAGGTGGGCCTCTAAGGACAGGTTAGAGTTAGAGAAGGAGTAAAGAGAGCACGTGAGGTAAGGCCAGTCGGTGTGGT